TCGAGTCCCGCATCGGGCTCCCTGCTTGGCAGGGAGTCTGCTTCTCCCTCTGACCCTTCTCCTTCTCATGCTCTCTGTCTCTCATTCTCTCTCTCTCAAATAAAAAAAATAAAAAATTTAAAAAATAATAAAAATAAATTAATTAATTAAATTAAATGGCAATGTGGGCCTCCCAGGGATTTTTTTTTTTAAAGATTTTATTTATTTATTTGAGAGAGAGAGACTGAGAGAGAGAGAGCATGAGAGAGGGGAGGGTCGGGAGGGTCAGAGGGAGAAGCAGACTCCCTGCCAAGCAGGGAGCCCAATGCGGGACTCGATCCAGGGACTCGATCCAGGGACTCCAGGATCATGACCTGAGCTGAAGGCAGTCGCTTAACCAACTGAGCCACCCAGGCGCCCAACCTCCCAGGGATCTTGAGGTACCCTGCCCCGTCCGGCTCTGGAAGGTACAAGGTCTCTCCCCTGAGAGCTACGGAGCTGTGGTCACCACCATGCTTGGGGAGAGTGGACAGAAGAGCCCCAGGGCCTCTGCAGCCCCCCCACAGGGACACACCCGCAGCAGGGGCCAGGCTGTGCCCTCTCCCCTGACCTGGCAATCCCAGCCCCCCCCTTCCATGCTGCTGCCCAGCAAAGCTTCCAGAAGTTCACGTCTGTTCACATTTCTCTCCTGCCCAAACCCTTTAATGGCTCCCACTGTCAACCAATTAAATATAAATTCTGGGCACTCAGGTCCGTTCATTAGCTTTTTTTTTTTTTAAAGATTTTATTTATTTATTTGACAGAGAGACACAGCGAGAGAGGGAACATAAGCAGGGGGAGTGGGAGAGGGAGAAGCAGGCTTCCCGTGGAGCAGGGAGCCCGATGCGAGGCTCGATCCCAGGACCCCGGGATCATGACCTGAGCCGAAGGCAGGCGCTTAACGACTGAGCCACCCAGGCGCCCCAGCTTTTTTTTTTTTAAGTAAGCACAACACCCAACATGGGGCTTGAACTCCCGACCCTACGGATCCACAGTCACATGCTCTGCCGACTGAGCCAGCCAGGCGCCCCCGCATTAGTATCTTTTTAATTCTTCAACTGACTCTAATGTAGAGCTCAAGTGGAAAGTCATTGCCTTGGGGCTGTGCTGCCCAAGAAACCTTCTGTGATAACAGAAATGTTGTGTGTCTGCCCCGGCTGATAATGCTGGTCACCAGCCTTGTGAGGCTACTGAGCACTTGAGTGAGGCTTCAGTGCCTGAGAAAATGAATATTTAATTGTGCTTAATATTAATCAACTTGAGTTTCAATAGTCACATATATGGGCAGTATAGTCTTAGAATATGAATCCAATGATTGTCACTTTTTGTAGAACAGAGCCCTCTTTTTATTTATTTATTTTTTAAAGATTTTATTTATTTATTTGACAGAGAGAGAGAGAGTGAGAGAGGGAACACAAGCAGGGGGGGTGGGAGAGGGAGAAGCAGGCTCCCTGCCGAGCAGAGAGCCTGATGTGGGGCTCGATCCCAGGACCCTGGGATCATGACCTAAGCCGAAGGCAGACACTTAGCGACTGAGCCACCCAGGCGCCCCTCAAAACACTTTAGATACATTTATTTATTTATTTAAAGATTTATTTATTTATTGAGAGAGCAAGAGAGAGAGACCAAGAGAGCAGGCCAGGGGCAGAGGGAGAGGGAGAAGCAGACTCCCGCTGAGCGGGGAATCGGACACGGGACTCTATCCCATGACCCCGTGATCACAACCTGAACCAAAGGCAGATGCCCAACCAACTGAGCCCCCCAGGCGCCCCTGGATACATTTATTCATTCCCCTCTCTTCACAAGCCCCTCTTTACAGACCTGAGACTGGGGGGTTAGGTAGCTCTGCTAGGGTGGCTGAGAGGGGCTTGGACAGGGCCACTGGCCACTTGGATGACTGGTAAAATGCATAAATGCCCATCCTCTCTTTTACATTGGGTGACACGCTTGGGAGGGGGCAATGCAGAGCCGTTTTGCAAACCGCTGGTCTGAACTACCCATCCTCCCTACCTCCGTTTTCCAGAGAGTAACTGGGGGAGAGGAGGCTTCACGCAGTCGAACACAGGAACTGAACCCCTAACTTGGGAGTCCAAGGGAAGGCAACTGAACTTTCTTCTGAACCTACTGAGCATCTGAGGTTTTCACAGGGCCGGGCTCCTCTTCCCTTCACAACACCCCAGGAGGTAATATCTCTATCACAGTCTTACAGTAGAAGACAATTTTGTTTAGAAATTCTAAGTTGTTTGCCAAAAGTGAGATTCAAACCAGTTCCTTGACATGCAAACCCAGGTGGTTTCCACCAGACCACACTGCCCCTTCCCCTAGCAGCCTGAGCACCAGCCCTCCTGCTGCGGTGTTAATTCCTCCTTCCCCATAGGGACAATAAAGACCCCACCATCCCCCTGACCTTGCTCCTCCGGAGACAGGCTTCACAACCCTAGAGCCAGGTCTGCAGCCAGAGTCTTCTCTGCTGTGGGGCCCCAAGTCCCCTGACTTCTGTCCTGACCTCCCTCCCACACAGAAGTTGAACCAAACACCAGCAACCACGGACTGATTTCACAGAGACATCTGTGAATTGTTTCCAAGCTGGGCTGGGAATCTGGGGGCCTGTGACTTGTGCATTTTCCATCCCACCACTCAAATGGTGGTCCAAAGTAGAAGCAGCACCTTGGGGGTTGTTAAAAATGCAGCCACTCCAAACCTACTGAATTAGAATCTGCTTTTTAAGAGGATTCCCAGATGATTCGTTTGCACTTTCAAATCTGCAGAGCACTAAATTAGACCTGACTCCCAGGGGAGGCAGGCTCAGCCTGGCCACCCGTGTAACTGACCCTCTGCGCTTGGCTGGGTTGTTAGGGCCAGCTGTGAGGTGGTTGAGGATGTTATTGTAAGGACAACTTGGATATTAAATTGCAACCAAGGCCCGGGAGATTATTGCAACAAAGGGAATCCTGCTAGTTTTATTGCAACCAGCATCTGCATGATGGACTGAGTGATGGGCCCAAGAGATTTGTGGAAGAATTCTGAGGCCTAGCTGCCACCTCCGAACAGGCTACTGCGGATAGGCCTCTCAGTTTTAACTGAACTGGGGTGCACGAAATTGGAAAACAGTTTAGAACACGTTTGTTGCGCTGAAACGGTGAGTATTTATAACACTGGCCTGGACACTTAAAGGAAACCTATTGGGGCCCAGGATTCACTGAAACAGGTTTAAGAATTTGTGACAAGATTGTCTGCTAACAACAATAACAACAAAGGAAAGCACAGAATCTGGACTATCACACTGACAACATTTCAAACTGGAATGCCTTGCAGAGTAAACACCAACTGGAATCTAGCTGCTCTGTTGCAACAAGTTTGGATTTGCTATTGAAACAAATCGACAAGTCTGTGGCTGAGGCCGTGCCTGGCTCTTTTATTGCAACAGGGGTGTCCCTTTGTGTCAGGAGCACTTGTGGACAGGGCCAGAGGGACTCCTATCACAAGGGGAAATTACGCTGAGAGGTCACACTGTTATAAAGGCAAAACTTGTGAAATGCTTTGCCATAAGGACATAATGTATAAGGACAGCCAGCTGATAATGAAGGACTGTAGGGAGCGGCCATCCCATGCCTCCCATGGATGTCGGCAGGGCAGGAATAGTACCCCCATCTTACCCCTGAGGAAACTGACTCAGGGAAGTTCAAGGGTCCCTGTTCTCAGGAGCAGCATGTGGACCTGGGCCTTTTGGCTACATCCCGCGCTTCCTTGCAGGGAGGCTTTGCATAAGCTTTTTTTTTTTTTTTTTTAAGATTCTATTTTATTTATTTGACAGAGACACAGCGAGAGAGGGAACACAAGCAGGGGGAGTGGGAGAGGGAGAAGCAGGATTCCCTCGGAGCAGGGAGCCCGACGTGGGGCTCGATCCCAGGACCCTGGGATCATGACCTGAGCCGAAGGCAGATGCTTAACAACTGAGCCACCCAGGTGCCCCTTTGCCTATGCTTTGAAGTGGATCAGGAAACTCGTGGGAAGAAAAGCATGCATGCGTATTTTACCTATTCAAATCCAGAATATCCAGTTGCAAAATTTTAAGGATCTGGAAGTGCCGTAAGAGATCTAAATATCTTATTTCCAACAGATCATAGGTGTCTGGATTTCAGCAAATGGGAAGAGACCGGAGTTCAACTTTGGTCTCCACCACTTGTCAACCTAGAGGCTTGGCTCAATCCGTAATCCAGCAAAATCATTCATTCTTTAACGCCCAGCTCCAAGTCACCACCTTTGTGAAGCCTTCCCAGATTCTGCCCCAGCCCTCCCCCCCCCCCCCCCCAGAGGTAGTGCCCGGCTCCCCAGTCTTCACGGTTTGCTTTACTGACGGTTTGGGACTTATTGGCATTGTGCGGTGTCTTCCCCCAGAACAGGGCTCATCTTTGCGGGCTTAGCGGGTGGCGGAGCCCAGCTCGCTTCGCCAGGGAGCAGCGCCCACAACGTGGCCGCTTTGTGCCTCAACCCCTCGGACGCCTCCCGGCTCCCAAACTCGAGCTTCCTCCCTCTGCCGAGGCCGCTCAGACCCCCGGGTGTCTGCACGTCGGTGACCTGCAAGCACTGGGGGACACAGAGGGGGCGGAGGGCAGGGAGAGCCCGCGCCCACACGGGCACCCGCGGCCGCGTCGGGCCCCGCGTGCGAGCGCCCCCCGGGCCAGGGGAGGGGCGCCAGGCCGCTCCGTCCAGCCGGGCGCAAGCTCCTCCCGGCGGGCGTGCGGGCGGGCGCCCCCCGACAGCCGCACACAAAGCCCGCTCGGCGAGCTCGGCGCTCGGCTCCTCACGCCTGTGCCGCCGCGCGCCGCCGGGCGGCCCCGGGTTGGGCGTCGGGCCGCGGCAGGCCCGGGGCGTCGAGCGCCGCGCGCATCGAACCGGCGCGGGAGGGGGAGGGGAGGGGAGCGGGGGAGGAGGGGGAGGGGGCCGGCGGGGGAGGAGGAAGAGGCCTCGCGCCGAGGAGGGAGCAATTGAATTTCAAACACAAACAAGCGCACGAGCGCGCAGCACCGCGCCGCTGCATCCGCGCCCGCCCCGTCCGAGCGGCGCGGGCGCACAGCCGTGGCCGCGCCGGAGCTGGGGCCGGGGGCCGCCATCGAGGCGGGGGCCGCGCGAGGGCCGGAGCGCAGCGGCGCCGCTACCGCCGCGCGCGCAAACTTGGGCTCACGCTCGCCGGCGCGGCGCGGAGCCCGGGGCGCCCGGAGCCCCGCCATGTCGCGCTCCAACCGGCAGAAGGAGTACAAGTGCGGGGACCTGGTGTTCGCCAAGATGAAGGGCTACCCGCACTGGCCGGCCCGGGTGAGCAGCGCGGCCCGCCGCCCCGGCCCCGGGCTGGGTTGCGTAACACCCGGGAGGACGCGGGCGCCCCGCGCGGAGGGGCGCGGGCGGGGGGCGGCCGAGTCCCCGACTCGCCGCGAGCGCCTCCGCGTCCCCCCCCGCCGGTTACATAATGGTGGGGGCGGGGGCCCGGCGAGCGCGGCGTCAGCGCGGGGCCCCCCGCGCGCGGCGGCGTGGGGCGCGCGGCCTGGGCTGGGGCCGTCGGGAACTCCTCCCGGGCGCCCGGGGACCCCCTTAGAGACCCCTGCTGTCGTCCCTAACCGCTGCCCCCGGTCAGACCCTTCTCGGACCGAAAGGTAGCAGGAGGGTCCCAGCCCAGTGAGGAATATGTGGAGGCGGAGTTCGCTTCTGGAAAACTTTGGTTTGGGGCGGCCGTGAGAGGTCTGAAGTTGGGAGGGTCGAGGAACGTTTGGGGGCGGCGTGAGACGGGGATCTATCTGGCTCGGAAATTATCCGCCAGAACCCTTCGCTTCGCAGCCCCCCAAGTATATTCCTCCAAATGCTGGCAATTCAGAAGGGGGGCTGAGGGTGGCAGGGCCTCGGGAGGCCGGGAAGTGCCGTCCAGGCTGCCTCATCCTGGAGGTGGGGGGAGCCCCAGCTGCTGCTCCCTCCCAGATAGGATCCTCCCGCCACAACGGCCCAGTCTGCCATGTGGTTGAGTTAGCCCGCCAATATGAGGGACGCCCCCCCCCCCGCCCCCGGCTCCAGCACCTGGCCAGGTGGGAGGGTGGGGCCCAGAAGCCCAACCTGGTGTGTTCATCATGTTTCCCCTAAGGACTGGGTCGGCTCGAGTAAGGAGGGAGGGCGGAGGGAGGTTGCTGGGGGAGGTCGGGGGTGCCACTCGGGTGGGGGGGTGGCAGGGCAGTGCCTCTGGCAACTTACTTCAAAGTTGGTCTGGAGAGGCCTTTGGAATTGGGTGCGGGTCTGACTCTGTCCCCTAGAGGTAGGACTCAGGAGAACCAAATAGGGCAGAGAGCAGAGGGTGGAGGGGGTTTTCCAGGCGAGGGGACCAAGTGCAGAACTGCTTTTAGGTTGCTTAGGTTGCTCTCCACGTGAGTCTGTGTCTTTATCTGCCGCAGACCCTGCTCTGGGCCTGGGAAGTTGCCCCAGGGCCCACTGAGGCCCATTCCTCACTCTGTACCCTCTCCTGAAGAGTGTGCTTGATCCCATATCCCTTGAGCTCCTTGTTCCCTGAAAGTTCTAGATGTCCAGCCTCTGAGGGAATGCAGTACAGAAGTGGGGCTCTCCCAGCTTCTAGGGCCTCCTGAGAGCCTGGGCTGGGCGTGGGGGGGGCGGTTGGAAGCAGGGTGAGGAAGCAGCCACCCAGCATGGTGTATGTGGCGTGTGAACACTCGTGTACTTTACCCCGCACCTTTGATCCATCTGGCTTCTTGGCCTGGACGCCAAGGCCCTGTTGGGCAGGGCAAGAACTGAACCCAGGTCTCTGCTGCTCCTACCTGCTGGGGGTGGCACAAAGTCCGAAGGCTGGCCCAGGCCCTCAGGGAGGGGGTGCAGCTGGAATGTGGGTTGCAGGGAAGCCTTTCTGGATCAGGGACGAGAGAAGAGGGAGGGGGACACAGGTGGGCCCACACTGGCCCCAGTGAGGTAGAGCTTCAGGGTGAGGCAGCACTTGGGACTGGGGAAGCCCTTCTATCTTGTCTTCACCCTGGACGTCCAGGACAGAAGGTGGGGACAGGGAGGCAGTGTCTTTGCAGTGTCTTTCTTTTGAGGCCTGGACTGTTGAGATAGAGTTAGGCTTGGGGAGGGGAGGTCAGATTGGATGGCAAGGAGGCACCACCCTTTGCCTGTGCTCCGGCTTTTATGACATCTGGGGGATGGTACACCCGAGGCTCTAAGCTCCCAGATGGGTCCCCCTTGCGTGCCAAAAGAACAGACAGATCCGAGCGTCCCATGGGGAATGCTGGGATGCTGTCTTAGGCCCTGGGGTGGCAGAATCTGAAGGCGCCTGGCCCCTCCTGAGAGGGAGGAGGCTTGGGGGTTCTCATGGACGGCCCCACCTAATCTACTAGACAGAACCCTGAGCCATGGTGAAGGCCCCTGCTTCTGGGGAGGATGGCTGACTGGGTGAGGCTGGAACAGCTCAGTGCCTGGAGAGGCCCAGCCAGAGGGGCCACGTGGTCGGCAAGACCTGCCTGGAGTGTAGGGTGACTCCATCTTAACCTTCTCCTTTTCCTCTTCTTCCTGCTTGACTTCTTGGGGGATCTCCAAGCACTTAACAATTAAGCTCCAAGACTCAGGGATTTTTCCCTCCCAGGTTCCTTCCTCGTCTCTCTGCTTCCTGTTTCACAATCCCAGAAAACCTGAGCAGCCAGAGGGCCTCACCCAGCTTTCCTCCCCCTCCCCCCCTCCCCTCACGGCCAGGCACCACCTTCTCTTTTCTGCATCTTGGGCTTGCCACACTTTCCCGGCCCCAACTGTCTCCTGCCCCAGATTTTCCGGTTCCTGGGTCAGGTCGGGCCTGGCCCTGGGTGTGGTGGTCAGAACCCTGGCTGGCACTCCGAGTGGCCTTAGCCTTCCCTGCTGCCTTCCTCCGTGTGGGCCGGTGGCCCTGGGCTCGGCTCTGGCCTGAGGCTGGTGTTCAGTCGGTGTTCAGTCCTCTCCCGTGTTCCTCACCTGGGAGCTTCAGTTCCCTCGTCAGACCTTGGGGTGGCCGTGGGCTCAGGGAGGGCGGCGATTCACGTGCTCGGCTCTGTGTGATGGAGCCAGGCAAATGCAGAGGGCCGGGCAGGAGTGGAGGGGCCCCGGCCTGGGAGAACTGCCCTTCTGGCTTTGTGGAGTGGCTGAGAATCAGCAGAGCCCCCTCCCCTGTTGGCCAGTGGTTGGGGGGGGGGCGTGCGGTGGGGTCCCTAGCCCTCCTCTGGCCCCACCCTGACCCGCTTGGCTTTGACTCACTTGTTCTGAGTCACAGCCTGCATATAAAGGCACCGCCTGGGAGACCTGTGTCTGTATTGGGGATACAGGCCTCCCCTGAGACCTCATGTCCTCTATGTGGGGGAAGAACCGCCCTCACTTCAAAACGCAGAGAGGACGTTTCCTTTGTAGCTTGAAGGAAGGGCTTTTTCCCCTTTTGAGGTGAGGGCCTGGGACTTGCATTAAGTGAAAGGAGCACTCCTCCTGGCCCCTCCCCCCAGGTACCTCCAGTCAAGGGGAGGCGGGGGCGGGTGACCCTTCTGGGGTAGATGCCCATCTGCCGGGGCCCCTGGCATCCCTCTTTCCTCCAGACCCACCCTGTATTTGGCGAGAAGTCAGCAGGGCGGGTATATCTGGTGTCTTTCTATTTTTAATTCCCATCCATTCTTTTGTTTCTCCTCCGCCCCTGAGGCTGGGCAGCTGGTGGCCTCCTGGGTCCCCTGTCACACCGTTCAGCTGCCTCTGAGTTTGCTGTCCATGGTTTCCCATGGCCTGTGGTTGGGAGCAGCCCTGCTGGAGCTGTGCGCCTTGAGAGAACTTCCCGGCCCCTCCTTTCTGACCCTTCACTCACCCCCACCCCCTTCCTGAGCCTCAGTTTCTTCCTTTCAGCCCATGAGCCTGTTAACGCCCTGGCTCAGGTGTGGGCGCCAGGAATGCAGAGCTCAGGGCTCCCTGCTGTACTGCAGCCCTGCCCCTTGTTTCTGGGGCTGAGACCCACGGAGAAGAGGCCTAGGCCTTTTGCTATCGTACCCAGCCTGTCTCCTGGGACCTTTAAGCCCTGGAGGCTCGCATTTTGCTTTTTGCTTGCCCCCCTCTGAGAGGAGGGTGGGGAGCTAGCTGGTCACAAGACCCAGGTGTCCGGGCCGAGGCCTGACTCCTCCTCCGCCTGCACCCCAGGTCTGGCTTCCTGAGAAAGGCCTGGGCCCTCCAGCCCTGGCTGTGGTTTCTAGCACAGCCTGGGACCCAGGTGCCAGACGCCGCGCTCAGGGGGTGGGGTGTGTTTAGTGTCCCCTCCTCCCCAATCCAGAGAGAGGGCCTGGGGGGAGGGGTGGTCACATTCCTGGTTGCTGAGTGGCCCCGGGGGCGGGGTGGGTTGTCATGGCGATGGGGATCCTGTTTGTGGGGGGGAACTGCGTGCCTTTCCACCCCCTGCTCTCACACCCCAACCTCCCGGTCATGGGGAGGGCCCAGCTGGTGTTGGGCCTTCCTGGGGGGAGGGGCTGGACCTCTGTCCCAGAGGCCACAGGGCAAGGGGGGAGGGGCTCAGGAACCTGAAGGCTCCGTGCCTGGCGCAGGATGCCCCTCAGATTCTTGCCCAGGGCTCCACCCCCTCCCCTGGGTGGGTCTCAGCGGGTTTGCAACCACCCAGCCTCTCCGTCTCCCCAGGTCCCCAGGTCGGGCGCTGCGTCCCAGTCTCTGGGTTAGCCAGTGCCTTGGCCTGGCTGGCTCTGTCCGAGCTGCGCCTGGGGCCCCAGGCAACATGGCTACCTGGCCTGTGTCCGGCGGGAAGCCGGGCTGCTGGGGCTGCTGGGGCTGCTGCAAGTGTTGCTGGGAGTTGTAGTCCTCCCCCCCCCCCCCCCAGCTCAGCTGGGCCTGGGCTGCCAGGGCCTGGGCTGCGGAGGCTGCTGGGGCCACTGCCTGCCCATTTCCCTGACCGCACACCTCTGCAACTTCCCCACCACGGCACCCTCGTCCCGCAGAACATGGGGGGCAGGGGGTCAAGTCAGGAAACCAGCTCAGACCCTCACTAACTTCCCGTGTCATTTGGGGGCCCTGTTTCCTCATCTGTAAAACGAGAGTGTCTGACTACATCCACAGGCTTTCAGAGTGCTCCCAGAGGCCTTTGGCGTTGCTCTGGAGAGGGGTGTCCGATAGGCAGTCCCTTGGCCTTCCCCCTCCACCAGAGCAGTCTGCCTTTACCTGTCTCTTAGCTTCCTTCAGCAGATCTTTCTCGTGAGCCGACTGTGTGCTAGGCCCCGAGCAGGGGCGAGGGGGGGTGGTACAGACAGGCCTGCTGTCAGATCTCAGGCAGGCGTAAGCCAGAGTCCACACAGGCAGCGTTCAGATGCTCACATGGGTGACTGTAACTGGTGCTCTGAAGGAGAGGGGCTGAGCCTTCTGTGGGGGGCCGGCTGGGCTGGGGTGGGAAGGCTCACCGGGACTGAATGAGTGTGGGAGACCAGAGGCCAATGTGGCTGGAGCAGGGAGGGGAAGGGCAGCATATGGCTGAGGAGGAGAGCTAGGACCCGTGGGCTGGACTGCTGGCCAGGTCACGGCCATTTAATCCTTCCCCACCCCACAACTTAAGTACCATGACACTCTCCATTTTACAGATGGGGTAACTGAGGTCAAGCATAGTTGAGTAAGTTGCCCCAGGTCATCCAAGTATGTTGGTGGCCGTGTGGGGATTCAGACCTTGATGCTCTGGAGCAGGTGATCGGGTAGGCCCTCTAGTGAGCGGAACCTGGAAGGTTTTGAGCAGAGGGAGAAGTGCTCAAGGCAGCACTTGGAAGGCCCCCCCTGGCTGCCGTGGGGGTGGTAGCTTGTAGGTGGGCTGTAGTCCAGCGAGCCCGAGGGGAGAGGTGACCCTGGTTGGGCTGGGGTAATGGGCCCGCAAAACAAGTGCCGTCCCGCCTGTCGTGGAGAGGGGCCGACTCCGGGTTTCTGCTGGGCTTAATGTCTGACTTTGAACAAAGTTCTGCTGCTAAAAAGGGTTTAAACACCACCTGGGGGATCTCCCCGGTCCTTCTCAGTCTGGTTTTACACGAATGTGTCTTGGAGGCCGGCCTCGGCCCCAGATTCGTGAGCTCAGGACTCCACTTACTCGCTTCCCTCATCTTGCTCCCAGATTGACGAGATGCCTGAGGCCGCCGTGAAATCCACAGCCAACAAGTACCAAGTCTTTTTTTTCGGGACCCATGAGACGTGAGTGAGGGGCTGTAGGTGGGGCAGGCCAGAGGCCATGCTGGTGCCCCTTCCCCTGGGGCTTCGAAGCTCAGGCAGCGAGGGCTCCAGAGCACAGTCTCCCATCTCTCCCCAGGGCATTCCTGGGCCCCAAAGACCTCTTCCCGTACGAGGAGTCCAAGGAGAAGTTCGGCAAGCCCAACAAGAGGAAAGGCTTCAGTGAGGGGCTGTGGGAGATCGAGAACAACCCCACTGTCAAGGCCTCGGGCTACCAGGTGAGCAGCTGTCCACCCCAGAGACCCCCCTGGGAAGCAGGTGTGGCCACTGTCTCCGGGGCCCACAGGGCAGGGGATGCTTAGCCTTCAGGAACGGGCCTGAGAGACCAGGGTTTTCAGGGCGCAAGCTCCTGGGGTGGGGGTGGGGGGCCCTGCAGGAGGGGCTGGGGTCGCGGGGGGTGGTGTGTGGTGTGGGGGGCAAGGACAGGACGGAGGCGGTAAGTGGGGACAGCCCTTTATGGGGCCTAGTGTGAGTGTAGGACTTGGCCTTAACTCTTTTCACAAAGGCTTCCAGGAGGAGGTGCTCGTGAGCCGGGCAGGATGAGGCGGGAGGGTGGGGGGCGGGGGTCGGCGGGGAAAGGGTCCCAGCTCCCTTCGGGAGAAGTTGACCCGAGGTTTTGCCTCCTGCTCCAGCCCTCCCCCCTCCTGCACAGAGCCCTGCCTGCCCGGCCAGTGGGTTTAGCCCGGGGCTAATCCGACAGAGGTGGGTCTCAAATCACTCGTGAGACTGGGCACCTGGGGGGTGGGCGGGGGCGAGGTGGGCGAAGGAAGGAGTGAGTGGCCGCGGGTGGGTCTGGGGAGGGGCCCGGCAGGCCGCTCTGGTGCCACTCAGCCTCTGCCGTCTCTGCGTGCAGTCCACCCCGAAGAAGAGCTCAGTGGATGAGCCCGAGCCCGAGCCAGAAGCCACAGAGGGGGATGGCGACAGGAAGGGGAGTGCCGAGGGTAGCAGTGACGAGGAAGGGAAGCTGGTCATCGACGAGCCAGCCAAGGAGAAGAATGAGAAGGGGGCACTGAAGAGGAGAGCGGGGGATGTGCTGGAGGTAACTGAGCGCCACCTGGGGCCTGGGGCGGGGTGGGGGCAGCTGCTACTTCTTCAGGGACATCTTGATGTGGGGGAGACCAGCTCCTAGTCTGGGGTCCCTAGGGACCCTTCAGCTGGCAGAGGGCCGGGGAAGTGGACTGTGGGTGTGCCTAGGAAGGAGCCTCTCTGAAAGCGGGGGGGGGGGGGGGCAGGTACTGCTAGGTGGCTGGTGTCCTCCCTCTCCAACCTCAGGTGGCCTTGTCTCTGCCAATCCTACTTAGGACTCCCCTAAACGTCCCAAGGAGGCAGAAGACCCCGAAGGGGAGGAGAAGGAAGTAGTCCCCTTGGAGGGTGAGAGGCCCCTCCCCGTGGAGGTGGAGAAGAACAGCACCCCCTCTGAGCCCAGCTCTGGCCGGGGGCCTCCTCAGGAGGAAGAAGAGGAGGAGGAGGAGGAGGAGGAGGAAGAGGCTACCAAGGAAGATGCTGAGGCCCCTGGCATCAGAGATCATGAGAGGTGAGGGAGCCCCCTGCCCTGAGGCAGCTGGGCTGGGGGGCCCAGCCACCTGTGGAGAGGAGGAGGAGGAGGTGGGCCTGCAGCAGAGGCAGGGTGGGCTCTCCCAGGAGACTGGCCCTGGCTGGGGTGTGGCCAGCGCAAGGCCACACCGATAACCCTTCTCCCCTCCAACCCTCCCCCGCAGCCTGTAGCCACCAATGTTTCAAGAGGAGCCCCTGCCCCGTTCCTGCTGCTGTCTGGGTGCTACTGGGGAAACTGGCCATGGCCTGCAAACTGGGAACCCCTCCCCCTCTCCCCCCTGCTGTCCTCTTCCATTTATTCTCCCCACTCCAAGCCCAGCCCCTGGAGATTGACCTGGATGGGGCAAGCCAGCTGGCCCTCACCTCCATGTTCCCAACACCCCTGTGATCTGAGTCAGGGCTCTGTCTTCTGCTTCATGGGCTGAGATGAGACCATTGTGTCCCTCCCTGCCTGGAGCTGTTTCTGAGGGTATCTGTTGGGGCCTGGACTGGCTGTTTCCACCTCCGGACACCTCCTCCGCACCCCTGTCCCCCCCCCCCCCCCGTCCGTCCCCCCAGCATTCTGGACCTCTGGGTTAGCTGGGATCAGAGGTAGGAGTGGAAAGGATGGAGAATAAACAGCAGGGTCGGCTTCTGGGCCTAAGAGGGGCAATCTTCAAATTGGGGAGGGGGGTGGGCAGGAGGGTGGCATCTTCTTGCACTCCTGTCCCTTCCTCCCATACCTATTATCCCAGCTGCCTAGATTCAGGGAAAGTGGGACAGCTTGTGGGGGAGGGGCTCCCTTCCATGAATCCTTGATGATTAACAACACCCTTCTTTTGCTGATCCCAGGAGTTCTGGGAGTTGTAGTTGATCATCAAAAGATTGGGGCCTCCTGAGATTGGAAGGGTTGGCTTCACCCAGCTAGGGTGGGAGTGTTGAGGAGTATCTGTCCCCCCTTGAACTCTGCTCTGGGGAGACCCCCAGCTGCCCTTTCCCCTCTCCCCACGTGCTCAAGGCCAGCCTACAGTCATATATGTCACCCAGACATTAAGGAAAAGACACATTTTTTAGGAAATGTTTTTAATAAAAGAAAACTACAAAAAAAAATTTTAAAGACCCTATCCCTTTGTGTGCCCCCCTCCTCCTCACTCCTTCCCCACTGTGGCCCCCATTTCTGAGGTGCACTGGGAGGCTCCCCTTCTATTTGGGGTTTGATGACTTTTCTTTTTGTAGCTGGGGCTTTGGTGTTCCTTCTCGTGTCATTTCCCATTCACATCCCCCACCTGGTCTCCTCAGTGTCGTCACCAGACCCGAAACCCACTGAGAGGACAGGGAAAGAAGTGCCCTCGCCCAGCCTCTCGCGCGGTCTCTCTGCCTCTCTCCAGTCTCCTGTGTCCCCCTCGCCCCTCTCCTTTGGGCTCTGATGAAAAATTGCTGACTGTAGCTTTGGTTGTTTAGCTATGAGAACAGTAGACAATTTCAGTTCTAGGAAAATAAAACCCGTTGATTACTAGATTGGGTCTTGACTGCTTCTTGGCGGGGGCGGGGGTTGGTGGAGAACTGGAGGGGTGGGATGGGGAACCGAGCGCAGTGGCCCCTTCTCGGACGGAGCTGGGTGGTGCCTGCCTCTGCTCCGGCAGAGTCGGCACGAACTGCACCCCTCAGTCCACTCCTGCCAGCCGCTGGGGACCACAGCTCACCCCACGGTCACCCGGGAGGCCTCGGAGCGGGGCTTGCTCGAGACCGGGGGGAGCGACGCTGCTGCCACGGGTCAGAGCTAGGGGTGCCCGCCACCGGTAAGTGGTGGGGAAGGGCGGGAGGCTGGCAGCGTGGGGTCCTCCCACGACCCCGAGTTGCGTGGAGGGGCCGGAGCAGGTCCCCTCCCGTGCCCCCTCCCAGAGCTGACATTTTGTGACAAGCTCATCGACTCGCCTTGGAAGGGCCCACGTTTCACCCCTTCCTGCAGAAGCCCTAGGGCGGTTTCTTAATCTGCCCTGGCCCCCTACCGCAGACCGGGGCGCGCGGGGAAAGGACCGGCCGCAGCCCAGCCTGGAAACGGAGGCCCTCTGCTCAGAATAGGAAGCTGCAATCCCCTAGAAAATGGAGCCCTCCTCTCTGCAAACTACAATTCCCAGCGGCCCCCACAGCGCGCGTGAGGGAACGTGCCGTGCGCTGAAGCTTATCCCGCCCTGCCGTCAACTCCCAACGTGCCTCTCGGTGTTCTTACGCTTCCTGATTTCCTACCCGACCAAATTTCCTGTTTCCAGCTCGCTTCGTAGCGGCGGACTACAACTCCCAGCTTGCAGAGCGAGGTTGGTTTGAGCGTCCGCTCTGCATTTGGACTACATTTCCCAGAAAGCCGAAGGCCCGGGGGCAGGGAGGACGGCGCGCTCAGGGCGCAGGTGCGGGCGGCGCGGCTACGCGGCGGGAAGCGGAGGTGAGCGTGCGGTACCCAGGTGGTGCTGACCTCGCTGGGCTCGCCCGGGACCCGGGGCCGGGAGGGGCCTACGTTTGCCCCGGCCGTGGCTCAGTCGGCTGCTTGGAGCGGGTGGGTGTTGAAGACTGCTGGGGCCCGCCGTGCAAGCCCCCCGAGGACAGCCCCTCCCGGGTGTGCAGGAGAGGAGGGCAGGGTCCAGGGGGCTGGCTTCTGGGGTCTCCTCCCGGAGCTGCAAAGCGAGAGTGGCTGAGGCCAGGACCTCTCGCAGCGATCCGGCGGGTTTCCTCGTCTGCGGAACCGACCCTGTGGTCCTTGCACCTGTCAGCTTCCTTCCCAGGGCGGCGGCGGCGGCGGCGAGGTCCCCGCATTCGGTCTGTCACGGAGCTGTGCTCCCAAGCGTGTGTTGGATCTGCATGCGAACATTGAGGCCGAGGTTAATTGAGGAGAGCGTTAGGCGTTGTCGTTTTCATATTGGGAAGTGTATGACCGACGGTTCAGATAAACCAGTTCCGATTTGGTTTTTTCCCCCGCAATGCGCATAGTTGGAAAAGATGGAAAGGAACCGCGCCCCCAAACAGTTCCCTCGCCCCAAACAAGTCCTGGGGCTCTTTCCTTCGCATAAATATTTAAGTCTGTGCCGGAATATAGATACTTTTAATTTGCCTAAACGATATGATACCATTCACATTATTCTGTACTTTGTTAAAGCATTGAAAGTAAAACTGTGAAGTCTTAAGGATGATGAAACAAGCTCACACGTTCAGTTGCCCTGGGTCACAGAGTAAGGTGGTGAGCATGGAGGGGCACCCAGTTCTCTGACCCCGGCAGCTCTTTGTGCCATGAGAGTGCACTTGATTTTTAATCTTCTTTTTTAAAAGATTTTATTTTCAAAAAATAAATATTTTATTTATTAGAGAGAGAGAGTGCACAAGCAGGGGGAATGGCAGGGAGAGGGAGAAGCAAGTTTCCTGCTGAGCAGGGAGCCCAATGCTCCACCCTGGGACCCTGGGACCATGACCTGAGCCGAAGGCAGACGCTTCACCCACTGAGCCACCCAGGCGCCCCAAGATTGCACTTTATTTGTATTTTGAAGTTAGACTCAGTTCTTAGCTATAAAATAAGATTAACGATCCCTGCTCCATCCTTTCCCCCTCCCCCCTTTTAAAAAAGATTTATGTTTTTATTAGAGCGAGAATGGGCACCAAGGGAGAAAGAGAGAAAATCCCTCCCCGCTGAGTGTGGAGTCAAATGCAGGGCTCAGTCTTCTAGCCCTGAGACCATGACCTGAACCGAAATCAAGAGTCAGACGCTTAACTGACTAACTGCCACCCAGGTGCCCCCTCCATCCCTTTCCTTTAGTGCATGATGCAAGAAAGCCGCGTGGCGCCTGGCAGGTAGCAAGTGCTTGATAAGTTGAAGCGCATACTATTTTTGCCTCCGTTCTCTCATCATCAGCCCACTGACTTAGTCCATCATCCAAAATTGGGAGGCTTCCAGTACATACTTAGTTGGGAAATCCAGGACTCCGTAATCCTAGAGTCCGGCTCTGGGGCCTTTTCCTCTAGAAAAGCAGCTGTCTTAGGGAGGAGAAGTGTTTATTTCCTGAATGAGTTTAGGAATTGGAAGTGCTGTAGGGACATTTTAATCCCTTTTTTTTTTTTCTGTGTTTCGCCTTATAACTGCCTGCCGTTTGGCCTTGTGCCGCGGGTTTGTTCCCCTCACCTGTGTTTCCTATGCTGCTGTTTGTGCGAGTATCTAATAACTGTTACTGAATATCTACTGTGTGCCAAGCCCTGCTTGGATCTGCTGGACTCAGGGGTGAACTAGATGGCATGGTCCCTGGCCTCGGGGAACTTTTTGCACTTCGAAGCCAGATACATGTGGGTTTGAATGTCAGTTCTCACATAGTAGCTTTAGGACCATGGGCAAGTCACTGAACCTCAGTAAGTCCTTCCTCATCTTAAAGTGGAGATAACATCTTGCAGGGATTCAATGAGATGCATTTAGCAATGACCTGAGTATAAAAAAATATTTCTTTGCCCACTTGTTTCTGTGTACTCTGTTTTTGTTTTTTCATCTTTTTTCTTTTGTAACAATAGGCTCCACACCCCATGCGGGGCTTGAACTCAGGACCCTGAGATTAAGAGTCACATGCTCTCCCGACTGAGTCGGCCGGGAGCCCCTCTATCCATCTACTTCAGAGCTGACTAGGAAGGGTTCTGGATCTTCCCTGGCCAGGGGATTTCTCCTGGCCTCTAGCCATGCGTCTCTCTGCCCTGCTGGCCTTGGCTTCCAAGGTCACTCTGCCCCGAGACTACCGCTATGGGATGAGCCGCCCAGGCTCTCTTGCAGACAGGAGGAAGAACCCTCCAGGGACCAGGCGGCGCCGGGTGGCTGTGGAACCCATCTCTGACGAAGAATGGCATCTGTTCTGTGGGGACACGGTGAGAGCCTCGGGTGGGATGGAGTGGCGGGGGGGCTCCCAGGCAAGGATCCCCCCCTTCCTGACCCACGTCTTCCCGCAGGTGGAGATCCTCGAAGGCAAGGATGCTGGGAAGCAAGGCAAAGTGGTTCAAGTCATCCGGCAGCGCAACTGGGTGGTCCTGGAGGGACTGAATACAGTGAGTGGAGAGAGATGGGGCTTCTCAGGAAGCTGTCCCGTCACTCTGCACGGAGAGCAGCCCGGGGAGGGAGGAGACGAGCCGCAGGGGGCAGGGGCAGTGACGCAGCTGACGGCTCTGTTGTCCCCTGGGGCTGAATGCGACCACCTCTCTTTTGGACAGCACTACCGCTTTGTTGGCAGAACCGGGGAGGACCGGGGAACCATGATCCCTAGCGAAGCACCCTTGCTCCACAACCAGGTCAAACTTGTGGACCCCGTGGACAGGCAAGCACACGGGGCCCCGGGCAGAGGGTTTCCCAGCCTGCACATCTACACGGGTGTTGAGCACATTTATACCGAAGGAATGGGGGGCTGCAGGCCCTGGAAGTTGAGAGGGGCCATGCGTCTGATGGACATGAGCCCCTCTAGGTCACCCCAGGACAGACAGAACAGCGACAGGACGGTGACTTTCATGTTTTCGGCCACTGATTTTTTGGACAGAACGCAGCAGGAGGCCCTGGTTCCCATGCTGGGTTTCTCTCTTCCATCCACTAGGAAGCCCACTGAGGTGGAATGGAGATTCACGGAGGCAGGAGAGCGGGTACGTGTCTCCTCAAGATCAGGAAGAATTATCCCCAAACCTGATTTTCCCAGAGCTGATGGCATCGTCCCTGAAACATGGACCGGTGAGGCAGGCTGAGGGGCAGGAAGGTGGGCTGGGGGTGGTAGGAGCGGGAGGGAGGAGTGTTAGGAAGCCCTCCCGCCCGTCTTGTTCCTTTGGTTCAACAGATGGTCCCAAAGACACCTCAGTGGAAGATGCTCTAGAAAGAACCTATGTGCCCCGTTTAAAGACACTGGAGGAGGAGGTGATGGAGGCCATGGGGATCCAGGAGACTCGGAGACACAAGAAGGTCTACTGGTATTGAACCTGGGGGAGCAGCCTCTCCCCTCCTTGTCTTCACCTTGAAGGCCAGGGCTACCTCTTCTCCAGACCCCAATAAAGAGCCATGAGTCTTCCCCTGCGTGCAGCTGTTGTCTTCCGGTAGACGGGCACGCCTGACCCCGGCGCACCGTTTCTGGGATTGAAGGAAGGGGCACCTGCCCTCACGTACTGACAGAGCCTGGATGGCAGTTCGCCAGCCTCCCCCGGGGCAGGGCCTGCAGGTGCTGGGAGGGAGACCCGTGAGTAATGGGGTGGTAGGGGTGGGGGTGTGAGGCCCAGCTGCGGTACCTGGGCAGCGTCTTAGCAGGGGAGGCTGCGCACCCATCCTTCTCTACACTGGTAATGGCAGGGAAATGGAGATTTCACTTATTTAATAAATTAAAAATAAATTTTACATCATATCACATTAACACATGGAGGGAAAAATCAGGGTTCCAGGGATAGGGACTGGTGGTTCTCTGGGTGAGTGCGGTGCCCGGGTGGTCTCGGGGTTTGTCAGCTGTGTTCAGTCTCCAGAAGAGAGAAGGCTTCACCCAGGGGCCTCTTTGTAGCCACGAGAACCAGGTTTCTGGGAGAGAGCTCAGGACTAAAGATGGGCAGGAGTTCAGCATGGAAACCTAGGAGAAAGGCAGGGCTACTCAGAAAGAAACAGAGACACTCTCAGCCACTCCCTGCCTGGTCTGTGGGCACAGCCCTGTTCCCCATGGGGGAGGCCTCAGGGTGTCTAAGGAGACCCAGTTCTCCACCAGGAATGGGGTGCCCACTGTAGGTTCTCGATGCCCGGGGTTCTGGCTTAAAATGCAGCCCAGGGATGGGAGTCCAATTCAGTAGGAATCTGCACTGACCTGGCTCCCGCCCCACAGCTGACTGGCTGGAGAATCACCGCAGGGAGGAACCCAGGCTGCCTGGCAGCTGTGGGGGCTGGGGGCCTGGAGGAGGAGCCTCAGAACTCCAGCCCCACCCACCCAGGGTCCTGCAGGTAGGCCACCCTCACCCTGCTCCTGAAGGTGCAGCAGCCGGTCTAGCAGAATCAGCGTCTCCACTAGGGGGGCGAGAAGCAGGGCCAGGCTGAAGAAGGCCACCACTCGGTTCTCCTGGGCCTGGTGGGCCTGAAGGGCAGCCAGATTCAGTGGCAGCTGGGGGTCCAGCCCCACCCGCTGGAGCCCCCGCTGCACATATCTGCGGGGTCAGCCAAAGACAGCACTCAGGTTGGTTTCAGGCACCCACACCGCCCACTCAGAACCATCCATTGCTAGTTCCATTGCAACTTTGCTTCATGTGCTACCCTAGGATGCTTTTTCAACATTTTTCTGGCTGTGAGCTGTCTGTCCAATCGCAAATTAACCGCAAAATTTATTTTCAGCCAGATCTGTCCAATTATTTTGCTATATTTTCAGCATTTAAAAAATTTGATAGTGCCCAGATAGAATGACCTCTCCCTTCTGAAGAAATTTTGAGAAGCTGCCCCGAGACTTCAACATCAATCCCCTGGGCACATTTAGAACTTCGCTAGGATAAGCCAACAGGTGAGGCTGAGGGGGAAATCAGGTGGTGAAGCCCCCTCTCCACCCCCCGCCTCCCCCCGCCTCACTCTTCGATCTTGAGCTCGTGGACCCTGGGGATCCCCTGCACGCTGGGCCGCCGGAGCTCGGGCCGGGCCCCCCGGATGACGGTCTCCAGCACCGCGCGGTAGCAGTGGGTGCGGAGGCCAGGGCCCGCTTTCTGCAGCCGCTCGGCGTACTCCTCCAGGGCGTGGCAGGCTCCCTCCCGAAGCCGGTAGGGCAGCTCGCAGCCTGGCAGCCCGGCCACCCACTGACTCAGCGGGTAGCCGCCGGGGTCACTCAGCTTCATGTAGCAACAGCCCACCGAGGCCAGCGCCACCACCTCGGGGCAGGAGAAGTGCCTCAGCAGGGCGACGCTCAGGTCCCCGCACGCGTGGAGCCCAGTGAGCAGCAAGCGGGCCCCGCTCTGGGGCAGGGTCTCCAGCGGAAGCAGCAGCTCCTGGCATAGGGCCGTGGGCTCCACCCACCTGACCACGTGGTGTGGCGAGTGGCGAGGGCCCGCGTGGACCGCCTGTGGAGGCAGGACGGAACAAAGGCAAGTGGGAAGTCTGTCTGCTGTCCCCGTGCCACCTCAGGTCCCAGGACAGGACGTGCGTGTCCTCTGCCTTCCTTCCCAAGGAGGGGGAGAAGCTGGGGACCAGGACAGCTGGGCCTTGAATCAGGAGACGGGCTGAGCCCTGGGCCCCCTCATGGGGAGTGCCTTTAGGATGTGAGGCGGCTCTGGTGAAAGGGGGCCCTCGGGCAAGGGGCAGCAGGATTAGAGACGACACCATCTCAATCCCAGAAACTAAAGGGTGGGTCCAGCCTCGGTGCCCCATTCCAGCCAACTGGACCCCGCCCGCAGGGAAAACCGGCCTACCTGTGGGTGCCTCTTCTCCTCTTTCTCCAGAGCCTGCAGGAGCTCCTGGTCCAAGCGCTGGGCTCTTTCCACCAGTCTCTGATCTCCTTCAATGCTCTTCACCATCAGCCCCAGCCCCAGGGACATGAATCGGGAGAGATGGCCCTGGAGTCACGAGAGGGAGGACAGAGACAGCCCTGTTCAGTGCGCCCTCTACTGTCAGCCTCCCACCATCAGGAAGTGGCCCAGGCCCCCAGATGGCTCATCTGCCAACTTCCACCACTCCTCAGCACCTGCTTCCCGGGGCCTGTGGCCTCATAACCTGCCTCCAGCTTTCTATCCCCACAATTCAAAAAAAGGAACCCCAAACCCCAGAATATCAGGGGTCTGACTCACCTGGCCTGAACCTATATCCACAACCTGGGTGCAGCCTGTGAGGTCACTCAGCTTCTTCACCAACTACAAGAGAAGGGACAAAGCTCTCCTGGCTACTGGCTGTTGGCTCCCAGAGCAAACACCCACAGTGAGGGTGGAGGAGCTGCAGGTGGTGGAGGAGGATGGTGAGGGGGGGCCACGGGGGAGACAGGACATATGGAAACCAAGAGGGAGGGTGCTGACCCCAGGCTCAGGCTCCTCTCCTCGCCCCTCTCAGCATGAACAAGGAGAGGAGCCCCCACCGTGAAGCCCAGAGCAGATGGTGGAGGTGGAAAACGGGAAGAAGACAGTGATTCGGACACAGCCACCAACCAACCCGTCAAAAGGACGAACATACACACAAAAAGCCGCAGCATCGAGATACAATTATCGTATGCCTGGCGAGGCTGGTCCTGCAGGTGACAGAAGGTGCTCACATCCTGGTAACCCACAACGCCTGCTCCCAGACACCACCCGAACGCCAGCCATCTCACCTCTCCCAGCCTCCGGATCTCGTGCTGCTTCTTGGGCCTGACGTGTTTCCGGAATGGAGCTGTCAGGCGGGAGCTCTGGCTGGGGTTCTCCAGGAACTCGGAGGGGGTTTGAAACCCAGGTGTCCGGGTAAAGGCCAGGGCACAGGCTGTGGACTTCAGGGCCAGCAGAGAGAGTGGCCACACCGACTTGTACCTGTGACAGGCCAGCCCGGGACCCCAGTGAATAGCTCCATTGCATCCTGACCACACCAGTTTGCAACCCAGGAAGCCCGAGGGAGACTCTGAGCCTGAGTCCCCCAGCCCGGGGCCCCTCTTGCCCATACCTGACCACTTCCCCTTCCCCGGGCATCCCCAGCAGCTGTGTGGCCAGCTGTGGCGGGTTCAGTCCGTCCAGCGCTTCCTGCCATGAGCCAGGGAGTGTGCCCCACAGGTCGTCTGTGAAGAATTCCTGCAGGAGCAGGGGAGAAGCAGTCTGGCCACTGCCCTCCCCACTCCTCCCTGCCCATCCCAGCCACCGCTCTCTGAAGCTGGGCTCCAGCCCCCACCCTCGGGGCCCAGGCGGCATTCTGGACACGCCTCTCCTTGCAGCATTTCCCCTGCCCGCTGCTCTGCGTGTTCTCTCCACGCAACGGCGCCTTCGCCTGGGCATGCCCAAAAGCGCAGTGACTGGCCTGTCGTATCAGCACGATGCCACTTAACACCCTACCATTATGTGCACCGGACACTTTATGTGCCAGACACTGTATGTGACAGAATGCGTTTTTATTCATGCGTTTGTTAATCACCCACTCTGGAGCTCTGGCCACGCACCGAGCTCTAGTCTAGGCGCAAAGGATACAATGAACCAGATAGACAAGATTCTTGTTCTCACAAAATTTACATAAAAAAGATAATTTCAGGTAACATCAAATGCCACATAGACACTAAAACCCTGACGAAACAGTAACACGGTGGAGTTTGAGAGAGTGCTACTTCGAGGGCGCAACAGGGAAGACTTGTCTGAGGGGCTGGCTCTTGAGCTGAGACATGAACAACAAACACGCAACAGCAGATAAGAAAGGCCAGGCGGTACTTGCCGGAGGGGGGCAGCTGTGGCGATGCAGGGATCAGAGTACAAACTGCCAGTTATAAAATAAATAGATCACAGAGATGTACAGCAGAGTGACTATAGCTAATAATACTGTATTAAAAGTTGCCAAGCATAGATCTTAAAAGTTTTCATCCAAAAAAGGGGAGAGGGGCACCTGGTGGCTCAGTGGGTTAAGTGTCTGCCTTCGCTCAGGTCATGATCCCAGGGTCCTGGGATCAAACCCTGCATGGGGCTCCCTGCTCAGCGGGGAGCCTGCTACTCCCTTTCACTCTCCCTCTGTGCTCCCTCCCCACCAATAAATAAAGTCTTAAAAAATTTCAGGTAATAGCAAACACTTATAAAATACTTTAATATGCCAGGCGCTGTCCAAAACATTTTCCACGTATTAATGCATTTAATCTTCAAACAACCCTATGAGGTAAGTACTAGCTTACCTCTCATTTTACAGATAAGGAGATTGACACCCAGCAATTCAGTAACTTGTCCAAGTCAAAAAGCTAGTAAGTAGCAAAGCTGGGATCTGAAACCAACTCCACTCTAGTTCTTGCTCCTAACCACTCTGTTCTACTGCCCTCCCGTGGAGGAAGACATTCCAGGCACACTAGTAAGTGCAAAGGTCCAGGTGCCCGCCATGTTTGTAGAACAGAAATCAGGTCAGTATAGGTTTGGAGAGGGAATGTGGGAGAACCAAAGTGATGGCCTTCACGAGGCAGCAGGGGACGGATCGTGCAGCGCTTTCTAGGTAACGGTAAGGACTTATGATTTCATCAAAGCACCCAGGAAGCAAGGCAGTGTCTTGATCAGATTTACTTTTTTTTTTTAAGATTTTATTTGTAAGAGAGAGTGAACACAAGCAGAGGGAGCGGCAGGCAGAGGCAGAAGTAGGCTCCCCACTGAGCGAGGAACCCGATGTGGGACTCAATCCCAGGACCCTGGGATCACGACCTCAGCCGCTTAACCAACTGAGCCACCAAGGCGTCCCTTACCTTTTTTTTTTTAAGTAAACTCTACACCCAACGTGAGGCTCAAACTTACTACTCTACCACCGACCCAGCCAGGCGCCCCTCATCAGATTTACGTTTTAAAGAGATCAATCAGGCTGCTTTATGAAGAAATGGTTATGGAGAAGTAGACACACAGATCAGTTAGGAAGTGGTCCAGGAGCGAGAGGATGGTGGCTTCGCCCTGGGGGTAGCAATGAGATGGAAACAAACGGGTGAATTTGGTATCTACTCTGCAGGTAGAGCTGAGCCAAGGGCTGGAGTGTACGTCAATGAAGGCGGGAGCTGAATCAAGGATGCTTCTGGGTGTGGGGCTGAACGAGTCAGCGGACATTGGTGCCATTCGTACACCATCTTATTCCCCACCGTGAGCCTCCAGACAGGGGTTCCTATTACAGCTGAGAAACCCGGGCTAGGAGGAGTTTCTTTAAACGCCTGAGGCTGACCCCGTAAGGGAGGCAGTAAGTCGGCCCGACTCCAAAGCTCTAACAGCCCATTACACTGTTGAACCGGGGATTTAGCCAAAGCTTGGGTGAATTCTGGAACTCCTCGCGTGTTCCTCGGAGAGCTCAACGTAGCCGCGGCACGGCTCCATCGTCCACGCGTCTTACTGTGGACGTGGGCAGCTGAGAGAAACCACCGGAGCTTAGGAATATTTAGACGTACGTCAACCGACAAGCAGAGCGGCGGGGGGATGCCCCTTTCTCGCACAGACGCACCGAGGAGCGGGCAGAAGCCGCCCCTCCGGGTTCTGCGCCTGCCGCGCGCACCCAGCCCACCGCACCCCCGTGGCCTCACGATGATGTAGGCGTCCAGGATGCAGCGGTAGCGCGCCAGCACACGGGTGAGGTTCACAGCCAGCTGCTTCCTCTGCTCCAGAGAGAGGCCGCGCGCGGAGACGCCCGGCATCCCGGGCGGCGGCGGCAACGAGAGCGCGCCGCGCCGGGACGGAGCCCCCGGCCCCGCACCCCGACGCCCCTTCCCCGGCCGGCTGGGGCGGAAGAAGGGACGCTCGCCCTGACGTCACAGGGCGCGACGCGGCGCGGCGCGGGCGCACACGTGGGGCGGGGCGCCGCGCATACGTCACAGAGGCGGGCCCCGGCGCCGAGGCCCGCCCCTCCCCGCGCAGTTCCCGCCTCCCCCGGAAGTGAGGCCGGTCCCGGGTGCGGCGTTTCTCGCGGGGCGCGGCCTCCGCACCTTCGAGTTGTACCTCCACGGGGCTAGAGGGGCCGGGGAGCGCATCCCGCCCCCGCCGCCCCCCACGCCGCCGCCGCCGCCGCCGCCGCTGCCGCTGCTCACGCCCTCGGAGTCCCTGGCCTCGCTCCCGGAGGCGGGGGCGCTGCGGGCTCGCGCGCGCCGGCCCCCGGCGCGGTCCAATCCGCGCGCCTGCCGGCCCGGGCCTCGCCGGCGCGCGCCGACTTCCGCATCCGGCGGCGGGCGCTTCCGTTCTTAGCGGGGCCCGCTGGGAGGTAGGTGTGGGCGCGAGGGCGCTCTCCGTGGCGGGGACCCCCCCTCTCACCTCGGCGTACTCGCCGAGGCAGGCGGCCCCCAGCCTCGGTTCCCCGGCGGGAATGTGTTGTCCGAGGGCCTGTCTCGGGCGCAGGGCTGGGGTGAGATGCTTGCGGAGGGTCCCCCCCGGCCCGGAGCCGAGGGAGCCGCGCGGGGGGTGCCAGGGTAAGCCAGAGGCCCTGGGGGCCGGCCCCGCCACTGCCGGCGAGCACGCTTAGACCTCCCCGCCCCGGGCGGATGACGGAGCTCCCCTGTTGTGGCTTTCCAGGCTCAGAGTTCGAGCTGCTTGGCCCTACAGCCCACTCAGTTTCCGAATGAGACTGAGCTCGGGAGAGGCCAGGTGACCCTTGTCAAGACCGTGCAGCTGATGAATTGTGGGGTCGCGCCGGAATCCAGGCTTCCTGGCTCAGACAGTGCTCCTAACACCGTTTCGCGTTACAGGTTCATTCCCACTCTGGGCGGTCGCTCTGATGTCTTTCCAACCTTAAGCCTCATGAAGATGGGTCTTACTGTTTACCAGGCCTGCGAGTTCGGTTATCAGGATCACTTTCTTCCCCAGGGTGTACTCCAGATCTCCAGATGCCGGCCTGTGGGGTTCAACAGAGGATGAGTCCTCTGTCTTTCTGTCATCAGTAAGCCACTCTTCCCACCTGCTCTGCCATCCACTGTCCTCATGTCTACCTTACTCCTCAATCTGGATTTTGGTGAACCTGCCCCCAAAAAAGCATTTGAGGGGAATGCCAAGCACCGCAAATTTGTCAGGAAGCGGCGGCTCTTGGAACGGAGAGGCTTTCTGAATAAGAAGAACCAACCCCCGAGCAAGGCGCCTAAGCTGCACTCAGAACCTCCAAAGAAAGGGGAGACTTCTAGCGTGGATGGCACCTGGAAGGTCTCTCCCCTTCCAAAAAAGAAGACCGTTGCCTCCAGCAATGGACCAGAGCAGTCCCCGGACAAGAAGGCTGCAGTGCCGTGGCTGACCCCTGCCCCTGCACGGAAGGCCGGGTCTGCAGTGGCTAAGGTGGATTTGCTGGGGGAGTTCCAGAGTGCCCTTCCAAAGATTAGGAGCCACCCAACTCGCCCCCACAAGAAGGGCCCCCAGAAGAACCCTACTCAGAAGAATGCCCCACAGAGCTTCTCCCAGCCTCATTCAGACAATAAATGTTCCGGAGCATCCCTGAAGATGCCAAGGAAGATGGTGGCCATTGACTGTGAGATGGTGGGCACAGGACCCAAGGGGCACGTCAGTTCCCTGGCCCGATGTAGCATCGTCAACTACCACGGAGACGTGCTTTATGATGAGTATGTCCTTCCCCCCTGCCACATCGTGGACTACCGGACCAGATGGAGTGGCATCCGGAAGCAGCACATGGTGAATGCTACCCCTTTCAAGATCGCCCGGAGCCAGGTGAGAGGCATGGGGTGCGCTGGAGGCAGCGAGGTGCAGATCATTTCTCAGCAAGCGAGGTCACCCTAGGAAGGCGCCGAGGGATCCTGGAGGAGGAAGGGAGGGGGGTGGACTGCCAGATGAAGGGGGCTTCCTGCTGAGGTAGGGCGTGGTGAGAGTCCAGGCAGTTAGTTAGCTGCTGTGATGAACTGGGTTAGCTGAGACCTACCTGAGCTCCCAAAACAAATTCTCGTCTGGGGAACTGGGAATCCACACAGAGAAATAACAGCCACTGAGGGGCAGAGCAGCAGGCATGAATGGCGAGGGAAAGGGCTCAATTTGGGAATGCCTTATGGCTGGAGTTTGGGGTTGAGCCCAGAGGTGGAGAGGGTTCCCAAGCAAGTGTGGCAAGCTTGGGACATGGTGGTGGCAGGAGCAGGGTGATGTGTATACCTGGGACAGATGGCCTGAAGTGGAGGGGATAAAAGACACGGGGCTGGCGTGTCAGGGTTCTCACCTCGCTCACTGAGCACACCTCCTCATGGTGGCCCCGTGCTGCACGCTGGTCCCTGGGAGCACCACAGAGGGATAGGGAAAGGGGGACGAACCTGGGAGGCGCAGGGAGGAGGTGGAGAGGGAGCCAGCTGGTCTTGGGAGGCCTCCAGAGGGCGCCCGTGGTCCGCGTCTGTCACTTCAACTCCACATTCTCTGTTTTCTCTGGACACGCTCTGTTCCACGAATTGTGTTCGTGCCCTGACAGTTGGAGGTGAAGGGGCTGGATTTTAGAAAACTTGAGAGAAAGGGCTGCAGATTTTGTGCCCCGGGGAACCGCTGAGCAGGGCTTGGGAGAAGCAGAAGGTGGGATGGGTCTGAGATCTCGAATCCGCTCAGCTCCCAGGAGAGCTGTGTGTTGACTGAACGGGCAGTGAAGGTGTTGGTGGACGGTAAGTGGCAGTTGCGGTCAGGAGCACGCAGGTACCTGGTTGATTGGACTCCCATTGGGCTTTCATTACAAAGCGCTTTCCTGGTGCCCCCGCTTGGGTGTGAGACTAGGGGGATGTTCAGATGGGTCTGGCCCCTTCTGGGGGCTCCTGTTGGCTATGCCCCGATCATAGGACTGTTGCTCTTGTTCACAACCTCTTTGGAGCCCATTTGGGGAACGGCCTTCAGAGCTCCTGGCATATTCTCTGGTTGTTCTCTCGCTTTAAGATCCTGAAATGGTGAGGGCGCCTGGGTGGCTCAGTCTGTTGAGCGTCTGCCTTCGGCTCAGGTCATGATCCCAGGGTCCTGGGATCGAGTCCCACATCGGGCTCCTTGCTCGGCAGGAAGCCTGCTTCTCCCTCTCCCACTCCCCCTGCTTGTGTTCCTGCTCTTGCTATCTCTCTCTCTGTCAAATAAATAAATAAAAATCTTAAAAAAAAAAAAAAAAGATCCTGAAATGGTGAGAGGTTACTTGGTCTCAAGACCAGTGTGAATAAGGTTTCTGAACAGCTGGTGAGTAGAGCAGTGGGGCTGACTTTCTTGGCTGCTTGACCGCTTCTCTCTGCAGCCTGAGTCTACAAGTGGTTCTTAAGCTTTTGTAGCTCGTAGGCCCTTTCAGAGTCTGATGGAAACCATAGACCCCTCCCCCCAAAAAACCCATATATGTTAACTGTTTGTGTACGACGTGGGGCTTCTCTTACCTCTCTGGAGCCCATCTTTGACTACATTCGTCCAAGCCTTGTGTCTAAGGCCAGCACGTGGGAATGGCTGGAGAAGTTCACGTAGCAAGCCAGAACTGAACTGGATAGTTTAGCGAACATCTCACACGTGACTGTGATTTGGGACTGAGGCAAACTGATCTGTCATTGGGGTGGAAATTAACGAGAAGATAAGGAACCACTGGTTAAGTCCAAATTGGGTTACAGCCACTTTCACCTCGGGGAGTGGAGATGGCCCTCAGGTGGAAGGAACCTTGTGGGAGAGGATGAAGTAGGTGAGCACATGGCGAAGAGAGTCTAGAAGGACCAGTGGCCGCGCGGGGCTTCTGGGACGCAGGGGCTCCGCCTGCGCCACCGGCCGCCTCACCACCACGTCCCCTGCTCCCGTTCCAGATCTTGAAGATCCTCACAGGGAAGATAGTGGTGGGCCATGCCATCCACAACGACTTCAAAGCCCTGCAGTACTTCCACCCCAGGTCCCTCACCCGCGACACCTCCCATATGCCCCCTCTCAACCGGAAGGCCGACTGCCCGGAGAATGCCACCATGTCCCTGAAGACTCTCACCAAGAAACTTCTGAACCGGGACATCCAGGTAGTGTCTCCCCAGATGCTGCCAGGCCCCCAGCTCAGACCCGGGCTGGGGGATCCTTGCTGCCTCGCTGCAGACTATAGCCCCAGAATTGCTCTGGACAGAGATGCAGGCGGCGCTCTGATGGGAAGAGCCTTAGACAAAGGGCCTAGTAGTTTCTCCATTTGTAGTAGGGTGACGGTTCCTGCTCTCTGCCTCGCAGAGCATCCCAGGGGCTGCTTGGGAGAGGGAAGTCTTCAAGTGCATGCAGAACCCGAGCTGGGAAAAGGAGAAAGCACATCGTGGTGCCCTGAGAGTCTGCAGAGTGGGCGCCTGGGCTTCTTGCGACACGTTTGCACCGGGAGGAGGGCGGCCTGCCTGGCAGGAGGGTGGGCGCACGTTATGTCGAGAGTGGTTGTACAAGTGGGGAAGGTGCCAGACTCGAGGCCTGTCAGTGATCTGGAACATTGTGTTGCAGAGCGCAGAACAGACCGGGGCGGACAGGAACCCAGGAGTAGACCCCCCCCCCCCCCCCGCAGAGTTGTAGCTTTGCAGGCAGTAAGGCAGTAACTCAGCAGCGTGTCGGGGGGCCGGCGGGGAGCCAGTCGGGAAGGAAAGAAATGGTCTCTTGTGGCTTCATGCTCTTCTCTTCCTCCTGCGTTCAGGTCGGGAAAAGTGGACACTCCTCCGTGGAAGACGCTCAGGCCACCATGGAGCTGTACAAGTTGGTTGAAGTCGAGTGGGAACAGCAGCTGGCCCAGAATCCCCCAAAAGACTAGCGGCAGCGGGGGCGCAGGGGACACAGGAGAGCCGGCCGTGGACCGTGAGGGAGATGGAGGCTCCGCCCCAGGCTCAATAGTCATTGAAGTTTCACCTCAGGTGTTGTGTCGTGTGTCTGGTTAAGTGTTCCGAGGAAGGAGGAAGGCTCCGCGTCAGAAGCAGCCCTCCACTGTTTACCTCTTACACGGTGCTAAGCACAGGTCCCAGGGTGCGGGGCTCCCACGGGCCTTCGGACCTTCACGGGGCACCCTGGGCAGTGTAGTTTCCCAAGCGGCATTATCCCCGGGAGGCCACAGGTCCCATTGTATGCCTTTTGTTCTCAAGTAATTAGCAGCATCCTCTTTCGCTCTCCAAAGTACCCTGGTTGGATGACAGCATATCCCAGACTCCGCTTTTGGCTCAGAGTCTCCATCTAGTCTGTGGTGGCCTGTCGCCCATCCTTCCCACCTTGACCTCCAGAGGATCCATCCTGGGGGAGGTTCAGTTCCCCTTCGGGTTACAAGGCAGTAGAGGTAAGAGCGTGACTTGGAAATCAACTTTTCTGGTTTAGGAAAGCAGTCTCTCTCGTAAAGTAATAGAAAATTTATTTAATTTAGATCCCCCTTGATAGGTTAAAAAAGAATTTTAAGCATTTTCATGGTTTTTAGTGTTTTACTTTGTTAAACCAAATCTCTAAAGACTCAAATTATTCCCTCGATAAATGTTTGTAACGGAAGAACTTTTAATTGTGCGCTCCTGTTGTTGTTATTTGAACTTTACATTAAAAAGCTTTGTCATGAGGAGGGGCGCCTGGCTGGCTCAAGGAGAGCATGCAACTCTTGATCTCGGGAGTTGTGAATTCAAGCCCCACGCTGGATATAGAGCTTACTTGGGGAAAAAAAAATATCTTGTCATGAGGTCTTATGGGGCTGTGATTGTGTGAGGGGTTCCCGGATCTCTGTGGACCCCCGTTGCTAGAAGTCATCGAGAAGCACTGACCAAGCCTTTGCGTGCAGCCCACGCGCTCTGCTGCCTTGTCCTCATCCCTGCCACAAACCACGCAGACACCTTCACACGGAGGGTATGTGACCAGCAGCGTGATTCAGAGTAGGCATGTGGGAGGGACGGGGTGAGGGAGGGAAGGGTGCTTGGTGACGCCAGCCTGGTTGGTCCTGCCGGCTCTTCCTCGGTGGCACACACCCTCATCTTGGGAAGGTGAGTCACAGGTCTGACCTTGCATCTGGCATCACTGTGCACGCTGTGTCTTGAGAGAATGCAGCCTCCGCGTCCACACCGGGACTTGTGGCCCTGGAGCAGTTGGTTTGGCTGCAGGGGCAGGAGTAGAGCCTCGGCAGCTGGTCGCAGGGAGGTTCCTGCAGCCAGACCGGACCTCGGCCGTGGCCTTGCGCTCCTGTCCTGCGCTCGGGATCTGCTTGCACAGGCAGCTGCCGGGCTCTGAGCAAGTTGGTTCCTGCTGAGCCCGGCGTGAGGAATGCCCATGACACTTCAGAGAGGTGCCAGACGCCCTCACACACCTCTAGGTGGGAATAATCCAGGAGGGCCGCACCCAGAACAGGGAATACACGTGTAAGTAAGGCTGAGTTACGTTGTAATCAGTAAACTGGGAGATAGCTGGGAAAATCTCATTCGAGGTCAGCTTTGAGGGTGCGTCTTGGTAACTAGTCAGCGGCTCTGATGCCCCCCCTTTATCCCCCCTCCACACCCATGTCCGGAAAGGCACCTGGTCTTGGTGCAGGGCCAGAAGGAGTGGGCTTCTGCTCAACAGGCAAAACCTGGGGGCCCAGAGGACCTTGCAACCATTGCCTCACTGTTGCCTCTCATCACACTTCCTGGTTAGAGCCCAGCTCGCCCTGCAAGGCTGCCTGGGGCCCCTTCTACTCAAGTTCCCTTCCTTTTTTTTTTTAAGATTTTATTTATTTATTTGACAGAGAGTGAGGCAGGGAGAGAGGGAACATAAGCAGGGGGAGCAGCAGAGGGAGAAGCAGGCCTCCCGCGGAGCGGGGAGCCTGATGCGGGGCTTGATCCCAGGACCCTGGGATCATGACCCGAGCTGAAGGCAGACGCTTAACGACTGAGCCACGCAGGCGCCACCTGAAGTCCCCTTCCTTTTCTGCCCCTCTGTCCCCAGGGTCCTGGCTTCCTCTGAGGGTGGCCGACCCCCTTGCAGATTGCCGCCTGAATCCTAGTCAAGTTTTGCCTGAACGCCTGTCCTGCGTCCTTTGGGTGGAGCATGCGCAGGACAAAACACATGTCTTCTGATGATACTCTTCACAGCGGAGGGAGGTGTGATTCAGAGACCCCTCTGCGGGTGGGCTCAGGCAGAGGCAAGGAGCATGAGAGATGTATCCTGCCGGACATCATCTCGGCAATCTGAAACTTCATTGAACAAAGTGATTCTCAACGGGCAGTGGGGGCAGGGTTTGTAAAAGTTTCGGGTGGTGGCACTGCTCTCCCCTGATCGTCACAGCAAGCCTGCAAGGGGGAGTCATTTGATTCCTGGTTTAACAGATGATCACAGCTGACAATAGGAAAGTTCAACAGTGCTGTAATTAGGAACTTGCCCCAAGGCACAGGAGCCCGAGTTCGAGTTTAGAGAGACAAATACCCAGGGAAGAGACCCGCCAGGTGCGTCCTCTGTCTGCAGCGTGTATGCGGCTCCCCCAGCACTTCGGTTCACCCCGCGCCGTGGATCAGGTGACCTGTCCCCATGGTTGGAGTTGGATTCTGCCCCATACTAGATGTGTGGCACTTCCTTCTTGGGGCTCCAGGGTTCCAGCCTTAAAACCCTGGGGCTCTTTTCTCCCCTTGATGTTCAGGTTGCTGTGGATAACAATGACCACCGCTTTTTGAGGGCGTCTGTGGGTCAGGCACTGCGCGTGGTCCTCGGGGTGCATGGTGCTGCTGTTCTCACAGGCCGGGTGAAGAGGCCTAGGTTGACAAAAGATAAGAAATCCCGCCCAGGCCCGGTAGCCGGTCTGCGGGCTGCGGGTGGGAAGGCTCCGCTCCTCACGCCTCCCTACTCGGCTGTCGACCAGCCCCACGGCCTTGGAGTCAACGTGGAACCGCCCCGCTCGGTCGCTCCGGCCGCACCTGCCTTGTGCTGGGTGTGGAGCTAGACACTGGGGAAGTGGCATGGTCTCTGTGTGCTAGTTGCTTACCATCTGACAAAGGGAAACCAGCCGACGGATTTCAGCGCGCTGTGGCAGGGGCTGTCCAGGCCCACCGCGGGATTTAAAGCCGGGAGCTGGCCGCCGAATGGAAGCCGGATTGGAGATGGGCCAGGAGGTGAGTTCTGCTTGAATAATTTGGATGAGCATGGACAGAGGGCTGAATCAGTGAAGTGGGAGGACGCATATGAGCATCCCCGAGGAGGGAGAATCAACAAGACCTAGAGATCAGGGCAGGAAGATTATAGATGGTCTTAATATTTCTGACCTGCGGAGAATAGACAGAGCGCTGTTGTTCACGAACATAGCAATGGGCAGAAGAGTGGGTTTCTGAGGAAGCTGACTTGGGTGGACCTGGAGCTGCCTGCAGCTTAGCAGGTGAGAGGCCTGGGGCTGGCGGCTCAGAGACCACAGGGCAGCAGTGGGGGAGCCTTGGACGGGGAGGAGGGCTTCCTGTAGGAAGGTGTGTACAGGAGAGCACAAGGTTGAGATCGGAGACTTGGGAACGCCCTTCTTACAAGCCTGGAAGGAGGCCTGACAGAGGCCGCCAGGGGCCAGAGGGCGACAGAAGAGTCTCTCCAGGAAGGAGGGGATAGTATCTGAGACCACGGAGAGGGCCAGTAAGATGAGAGCCAGGGAAAGGGCCTGGTTTTGTAGAAACTGGGTGCCTTTCTTCTGAGCAATGTCTGCGGTGGGGGCGGGGAGGGTGACAGAAGCTCATCCGAGGTGGGCTGCGGAATAGATTGGAGGTGGTGTGCACCGCTCCCCAGGGCTCTGGAGAGGGGCCGATGAGAGCCCCAGTAGGAATGAGGGGTCTGAAGATGCTGCTGGCAAAGCTGTTGACCACAGGTGGTTGAGACGGACGCTACAGTGGGTCCCGAAAGATTGGGGGGATGAGCTTAACCTTGGCAAGCAATAGGGACTCTTCTGGGACCGAAAGGAGGGGGGAAAGTGTGGGGCGGATGGGTATGTTTCTGGGCCGCACCTGGTGACCTGAATTGCTCATGAAATTGGAGCAGAGTATGAGCCAGAAGCCAGGGGACAGAAGTTGGGAGCAGCCACAGAGGCGGGAGAACGGGCTGGTGGAGGACACGTGGAGGGCAGAGGGCGTGACTGAGGTCAGAACCTGGGTTTGCAGCGGTGCTGCAAGCTGGCTGTCAGGTCTTTTCTGGCCTTATTTGGCAGCCCACATACAGAAGGGCAGAGTTTACATGATTGGGGCAAGGGGAGGATGGGGTGTGCTGGAGCCCATGGACTTGCAGCCCTGAGAGGCTAAGCTGTTGAAGGAGGGTCAGAGACTGCTGGTGGCCAGCTGCAGGCTTTGAGACCCAGGAAGGGTGAGCGTGAGCTGGATCCTCAGGGACCCGGGCAGGTGCAGCAACAAGCACCTGGCATTTCTAAGAAGGGGGCTGAGGTGTCGCCAAGGAGCATGCAGAATCCTGACCTCTCCCAGCCGGGAAAGGGCCAGTCTCGTTTGCAGACCTGATTTTTGCGGAGTACCTGTTTCATGCACCTATCCAGGACAGTTAAATAAATTAAATCAAAAAAAAGAGGACTGGGGCACCTGGGTGGCTCAGTCGGTTGAGCGTCTACCTTCGACTCAGGTCATGATCCCGGGGTCCTGGGATCGAGTCCCACATCGGGTTCCCTGCTCAGCGGGGAGTCCGCTTCTCCCCCTCCCTTTGCTGCTCCCCCACCCACTTGTGTTCGTGCGCACTCTCTCTCTCTCAAATAAATAAAAAATCTTAAGAACAAGAGTACTAACGAAAGGTACAATCAGTTATTTCTTTCAGCCTCACAGTCACTGATTTGGGCTGAAGTCATGTGCTTGCTTTTCATTTTTTGTTCCAGAAACGGTTACCAGCCATTGCCAGACACTGTTGTAGGCCCAGCAAATCTACAGGGGCTCCCTTGCGGTGGGGGCTGATGAGTGCTGTGAAGGACAGTAAGGAGGCAGGCAGATACATGTGCATATAGGACTGTTGATGGGCTGGTGAGAGAAGACCTCTGTGAGGGCAGGACATTTGAGCAGAGGCCTGAACAAAGTGAGGAAACCCGTCATGTAAACATCTGGGGAAGAACATTCCAGAGAAAGCGAGAGGTACAAGGGCCCTGAGGCAGGCGTACACTTGGCGTATTCAGGAGCAGCAAGGCCAGTGTTGCTGGAGCAGAGTGAGGCCAGGGGAAAGGGGTGGGAATGGGGTCAGTGAGCAGGGGACATGTAAGCAGAAACTAGAGCCTCTAGACCATTGGGAAGACTCGGCTTCTACCTGCACAAGATGGGAGCCACTGCAGGGTTTTGAGCAAAGGAGTGGTTTGAACTGACTTAGGGTATAAAAGATGCCCCCCATCCACCCTCCGGGCTGCTGTGAAGGGAGAGAACGGGGACAGAGAGGACCATGGAGCTCTTGCTTTATAGGCAAGACATGCCAGGAGCCCGGGCAGTGGAGGTGGCAAGTGGCCTAATTTGGGACAGATTAGCTTCCCACACATGGATGATCTTTGGTGGGGTTGATCCTGAGCAAGTGCTTATTTTATTTCCTTTCATTTCTTGAGTAAGCTCTACATCCAACATGGGGCTCGAACTCCCAACCCCAAGATCAAGAGTAGCATGC